TAGGCCGTATCAGAATATTTTGGCAGTGTCTCACAATTTGTGAGTATGGGATTATAAGACAAGATATTTAATAGTGTCTTCAATTTAAACTGCAATAGCAAAGCAAATTAATTTAATTGCATTAAATCTGCATAAACTATCCCCTTCAATAAAATGCTTTAGTTATTAATTTTGCATCATCGGATTCCTTATGACAGTTTTCTTGTCATACAATATTTTTAAAAACGGTTTAGGGCAAGTAAGATTTAAATTTTTGAGAGAAATTATTACTTTCATTCAGCAAAATAATACTTTTTTAGCATTAAATGGATCAAAGGCAAAATTATGGTATAGACATTTGTAATGCCACAAAATATTTTTTATGTCAAAATGCTGTTCTTTTCTATTAATCCTAAAAAACACTTATCACAATTTCCACAAAAATATTAAACTGATTTTAACATTGATAACCATAAGAAATGTTTCTTGAGCAACAAATCAGCATATTAAAATGATTTATGAAGGATCATGTGACACTGAAGACTGAAAATTCAGCTTTGCGTCACAGGAATAAAAACATTTTAAAATATATTCAAATAGAAAACAATTATTTTGTATTGTAATAATAATACTGTTGTTTTTACTGTTGATCAAATAAATGCAGCTTTGGTGAGCAAAAGACTTCTTTTTTTTTTTTATGAAAACATTTGCAAAAACATTTAATCTCAAAGTTAATCTAATGTACCTATGAACACCCCTTATTTATGGCAAATTAAAGGTAATGCACAGTCTCTTGTGAATTTAGTTTAAAATATCCATGATCTATGTTTTTAATGCCTCACCATCTGCTGATTGTGTTATGTACTGCTTGTACTGAAGTATGTTTATCCAGCTCACTGTGAGCTTCTGTGTATATTTATAGCTTGCTTGCAGTGTTTTTGTGTCACGGTTGCCTCTGCCCATATTAAAGACAGTTATGAGTCACTTCTCACTTCAGTCTCTGGGAAACCATGATTCATTCAAGCTCTGTTTCAGCAACCAGTGCCCAAAATACTCTGGCATGGAGTCACCCCCTATCTTTACATAGAAAGCCTGCTTAGGAATGCCCTGATTGACTTGAGGAGTGATAATTCATCTGTTTAGCTAACACCTGATTGCCTTTAAATAAACAACACTAATTTGTAGAACTGTAATTCATATGAATAACTAAGTGAACTGGCACAATTTACATTGGCATTTTGTGTCCAACAGATGTGAATGCAATCGTGAATGCATTGTGGGACATTTCCCACGGAGTACCAAAAAATAGCTTGCATTTTTCAAAGGGATCCATTCTTTCAAACACCATTTGTTCACATCCTTTATACAGGCTTGTGAATATGACAGTGACCCTCTGAAAGAGAGACAGCTAACCTTATTTTGAGCACAATAGTTCATTGTCGAAACTAATGATGTCATTGTCGAGTTTCCTGCTGGAAAATCCCCCCAAGATGAGCTCTTATCTAAGGTGTGTTGTGTCATTCTGTTTGGTTGTGTGTGGCTTTCTCTCCTGACCTGCAGGCTGAAAGCATCAGGCAGCACTGGATCATCGCTCCAGCAGCCTGCCACGTCCTGCAACACAAACCATGAGCTCATGGAATCTGCAGATCGGTTAGCGGTCGGTTAGCCTATATATTTTACGAGAATATGCTCATCAACTGTTCTCACAACCAGAGCATCAGACAGGCATAGAGTTCATGTGTAGGTCAATGACAGTTATAGTGGTGTGGTATAGTGGTTAACAAAAATGTTTTAATTCTTTCTTTCTTCAAATGTAATTTTTAATTTAATTTAGGTTTGGTAGACTATCTATCTATAAAAGTTTCTAAAAAACCTAAAAACATTTCATCTTATTATTTAAGTTGTTGACTAATAGTCTCTCCTTATTAGCATGTTAAACCATCTCACTTAAGTTTCTTTTAAAATACAGCATACTATTATTCTCAGAAAGCTCTTCAGTGGTTGGAACTGAAAGAAGAGCTGCTGTAATCAGGTCAGTATGAAATTAGGCCAGGCTTCTCTTGGTGGTCATAACGGCCATATTACCCCCTGAAGTAGGAGGCCTTGAATTATATGTACTTTTTAATTAATGTCTTGGTGATTCTGTTAAAAATGGGGTCACCGCATTTGTGCTGTTTAATCAATTATTTAATGTGTGTCCATGTGGGATCTAATGGACTTCTTTTCTTGAAATTTTTGTTGAGTTTAAATGAGTTTAAACAAACTTTTATGGGATAGTTAACCCAAAGTTTTTTTTTTTTCTTCTGTTGAACATTAAAGAAAATATTCGAAGAATGTGGGTAACCAAACAGTTTCTGGTCCCCATTGACTTCATAGCTTTTTTTTTCCATACTATGGAAGTCAGTGGGGACCAGTAACTATTTAGTTAGCAACATTATTCAAAATATCTTCTTTAATATTCAACAGAATAAAGAAATTCATACAGGTTTTGAACAGCTTGGTGGTGTATAAATGATAACAGAATTTAAAATGTTGTATAAAAAAATATTTTTTAAATAAAGAATATTTCATTTTTCGTTTTCACTCACATTTTCTTTAGAAAATGTAAAATTGAAAAAAAAAACTGTGCTGAAAATAAATGTATAATGTCTGTTTATGCTAAATTAAGCTTAATTATCCTGAATTATACATTGTATATACACTATGTTCAATGTAATTTATCTAATTACAGTTTGTTACTAGAGTGTGTACATGCTTATTGCAATCTCTTTTCCATCAAAGGAATTATTACTCCTCCATATAAAGCCATATTGGTGTTGGCAATGGATTTAGGTCGGGGAATTAGGGACTTCATAAATTAGCGAGACTGCAGGGTTGGTCAGCATCGTGGACATTTTAACAAATGCTTTCTAATTATATTTCCATTCAGTCTTGGAGGAGCAGAAACAGAATAGGCTAGTTCTGTAGTAGCTTTGTTTCCACAGCGACCGAACAGTTTAGCCTAGTTTTGCACTTGAATGAGTTTTCAGTGGATCACTTTTCTCAGAGTAATGTGTCTTTTGATAACCCAGTTCATTGTACTGCATGTGCAACACTCAAAATACACGATACTTTAAACGCCATTGTAATGATGCTCATCTGCATTATGGTCTTGGTTGTCTGACATAGTCATGCATCAGTGTTGATGATGAAACATGCTGTAATTCCCTCTGTTTATTTGCATGGTATTTTTCCTTTTGAGAGCAGCATCTCTGAATGAATTGACATGCTGGTGATATCTCATTAGTGTGGGTAGAGCAAGCGAGTGACAGCTGCTATAAGACATTTCTCTGTCAGTGTGAGTGGCTCTGTATGTGCTTTATTGGGAGATGTGTTAATGATTCACGAGCTGATGCTGAGATTACCAAAGCCAAGATGCTGAAATGCCGTGTGTTAGAGTGAGCAATTGCTATTCAACAGCTCATCTTCACTAGACTGGTTCAAAATAATTGGAATATCCCCCTTACTAGTTCCTCCTTTCAGCTTTTCACTGCCTCTAGGAATGAACATAGTGTGATAATAGAGCAGAAAACACATCTTGTGTTGTAGAAGTATATGTAAGCGATTATGCACGGTCAACTGATCATTATCGCAAAATAAATCTGGATCAGGTCTTCTGTCATCCTCGAGGAGTTTATTATCAAGTCATGACTGGCTGACTGTAAATATTCCCACTTATCAAATACATATGGACATTGGTGTTATTGCATTATCTTACTTGTTGATTAACTTCCACTTATAGTCTTATGTGTATTATATCTTGTTTACCTTTTCATTTTCTTGCTTTAACTGAGATTCTAACTATCATCAAAAGGTTTATGCTCAACGTATTATCATCATTAATACTGAAAATTATATTCAGTAATATATACACTACAGTTATTGTATTCTTATTTGTTTGTTAATTTACGCTTAGAAAAAAATAGTCCATCCAAATATCACAATTTAAATATTATTTTTATAATTTGCATATTCTATGGATTATTTTTAAATATTTCGATAATTTATATATTAAGATATTTAGCTAATACAACATTCTTCCTTTGTTTAGATGTTTTGTCTCGTTTATTATTAAAAAAAAATTTTGCTTCTGAAATTTTTTGGTTTCTGACCATCATCAAATGGTATAATCATTAATACTGAAAATTATATTCAGTATCATATAGAAAAATTCTGTATACACTACTATTAAATGTTTTTTGTAAGAAATACACTTTCAGCATAGATGCATTAAATTGATCAAAAGTGACGCTAAAGACTTTTACATTATTACTTAATTTCTATATTTCATAATTTCCCATAAATCTGTTTCCCTTAATTATGTCTGGATCAGTTTTTTATGCATTGGGAATGTTATTATCATCTTGAAAATGGGAACGGCAGGAATAGTGCAACAGAGGCTACCACTATTGCAACCTGGTCTTGCAAAATAGGCTCATATTCTTTTGCCATTATATGGCCATGCAGAGCCATCATTAGACCTTCAGATGGCTACCCATACTATTATAGACTCACATTTTTTACAGTTGGCAACACATTTTTTGCCTTTTTTATGTAGCAAGCAACTGCCCTGTAAAGTAATCATCTGTCGGTATATGAGCTTCAGTGTGCTTATTTGACATATTATTTATTTTTGAGACCATTACCCATAATAGTATAATAATAATTTGCTGTTTATGTGCGACTACAGCCTCTTGGAAGCTCTACTAGTGTCGCTTCGAAAATTCACATATCAAAGTCCTAATTTTCAGCCCACTTTTGAAGCTGACACATGCTGCTAATTGGCCATCGGCTCAATTTGAGACATCTGTGCGATTGCATCAGTAATTGTGCAGTTGTCCATTATTGGTTTTGAAGAACTGCCATTGAGATGAATAGCATATTTTTTCCCCTTTAAACTAGCTTTCCATCACACGTGCAATAAATATTTTTTGAAACCTGAATAATGTGGAGCAGTCATGTTATGTCACTTTGGTCCACAGGCTCTGAGCAAGGAATGTCTACGGAGGAGAAGCCTGAAGCTCCCATGTATGTCTATGAGTCGACAGTGCATTGTGCCAACATCCTCCTGTGCCTGAATGAACAGCGGAAGCAGGACGTCCTGTGTGATGTGACAGTGCTGGTGGAGGGGAGGGAGATCCGTGCCCACAGGGCAGTGCTGGCAGCTTGTAGCCAGTATTTCTCCCTGCTGCTCAGGGGCCAGACGGAACTTGAACCGGTCATCAACCTGCCACAGAAGGTGAGTGTTCTCATTTGGCAGGGGTACAGATTCAGCATACATTAACAGCCTGCAAGGATGCACCTGAATGACCTGCATTGAAAACCTCACAAAAATCCCAGCTGTGTCAGAAGAGGGGAGAGATATGAGATCTCTGAAATTGCATTTACTGCATATAAACACCCTTATTTTCGTTTCTTTGTTTCATTTTATTTGTCAGTTCTAGGACCATTATTTCCTTTTTAATAAGGCAATTAATCAAAAGATTTTTTGCAGATAACCGTACCAGTCTGAAAAATTAAAATACATAACAATACAGTGTTTTGAAATATGTCTGATTGCATTTAGAGTGAATGTTGTGTACAGTTCCACAGTCATGAAAAATAAAATTGAGTAAAAAAAAAAAAAAGTGTAATTTTTAAATAAAAAAAGAGTAACATCTGAAAATGTCTTGAAATTGAATGTACACTACCATTTAAAAGTTTGGTGTTTTTCAAGAAATTAATACTTTTATTCAGCAAGGAAACATTAAATTGCTCAAAAAAGACAGTTTCCCTTTCAAATAAATGCTGTTCTTTTGAACTTTCTATTTGTCAACCGTTTTTTTTTTTTTTAATATGTCCCAGTGTCCACAAAAATATTAAGCATTTATATTATAAATATTAAACTGTTTTAACATTAATCAGAAGAAGAAATGTTATAAAGATAAGATTGTTTTGAAAGAAATTATAAATTTTATTTTATTTAGCAAGGACACATTAAATTGATCAAAAGTGATGGTAAGGACATTTATAATGTTACCAAACAAATCTATTGCAAATAAATGCTGTTTTTTTTCTTTCTATTCATCAAAGGATCTGGTATATTTCCTCAAGCAGAACAACTTGATAATAAGAAATGGTTCTTGAGCACCAAATCAGCATATTAGAATGACTTCAGAAGGATCATGTGACACTGAAGACCGGAGTAATGGCTGATGAATTAAACATTTTTAATAATATTTCAATAATATTTCTGTTATGTGTAGTGGTGGGTGGTTTGACCAAAAATCTGTATCACTTTTTTTTTTTTTTAGGACTGGCATTTTTGTTTTTTGTTTTTTATCGCGGTTTTTCCCTGACTGGGCCTTTATATGAATCAGAATACATGAAACTGTTGTAGAACCACTGCATTTTAATCACAATCCAATTAAATTAAATTGGATAATAAATTCACATTTTAAAGCAAAAACAGAACGGTCTGGCTTAAGCTTTGTGAAACTATACTACATAAAACATATCTGCACGAAACAAAAACGACAGACAGGCTGAATGAGAGCTTGAGAACATACTGTCAATGTGAAACAAAAATAATTTGAGGCCGCTGGCGATCTTTGCAGATCAAACCAGTTTACAGTTTGAACCGGTATATCACCCAGCACTAGTTATGTGTTGTAATCTATTGCTGTTTTACTGTATATTTGATCAAAATATTTTCCTTTTAGGAATATTGTGTTCTAACAACAAGAAATGTGCTCCTTTGTGTACAGATAGATAGAGAAGTCCGACAGGAATGTGTCAGTGAAGAAAACATGTTCATCGTCTGCAGCTTTGAGTTGGCATAATTGCTTATGTTGTTTACCAGAAGTGTTAGCAGAGTTCCCTCTCAGAACTTCACTGTGCTTGAGGAAGTATGATTTATTCATGGCTGATTCTCTGTGTTGTAATACTTTAGGTGCTTTGCGATCTCAAAGCTCAAAGTTATATTACAATATCCCAGATATGTCAGAAGGCCCCCATTTGCCTCTGCTTATATATTAATTATCGTTCATCTTCAAAACACTTAATGTCAAATTGTATTCTGTAGTGACCGGGAAATTGGCTTCATATCTCATTCTCTCCTCAGAGCCGTGCTGAGCTGCTTCCCTCTTGCTTTATATTGTGGAGTCTCTGCTTTCTGCTTTGTGTGTGTACATGCGTCCCTGCCTGCTGCCCTCATTAGGATTGCTGGTTATAACATTAAAGGAGTCTCATATGGCGCTTGGCTTCCATAAAGACATGCTTCTGCAGGGTGCAGCTGCTGATGCCAGCTGAAAATAGATCTACAGAATGCTCAGCATTTCCCCCCCATAGCTTTTCTATTTATTAGCAGCTCTGGGAGGACTGAGTGAATGTCTGGGGGAGCTGTATTTTCAGCAGGATGACTTTCTATTTTAAAGATGATGTTCTTGATGTGGTTGCGCTGCCCCGAGCATTCATGGATACCTGCGAGAGCGATATAGTGATTGAAAGTGATGAGAAGGGTGGTTTACTTTTGTTCTTGACATTATGCAGTTCACTTCATTTTATTACTTGACGTAAAGCTTGTGAGACATTGAATAGGAAGCTCAGATACTTTGTAGCATAGATGCAGTTTTTTTATAGCATGATTTATAAAATGTGATTTGAGGATCAGCTGATTATTCTCAGTCATTTGTGGTCACGGTTTTCACAAAAATATTAACCAGAACAAATGTTTTTTGAGCGCCAAATCAACATATTAGAATGATTTCTGAAGGATCATGTGAGACTAAAGACTGGAGTAAAGGCAACTGAAAATTAAGCATTGCTATCACTGGAATGAATTGCCTTTAAAAAATATTAAAATAGCAAACATTTGATCAAATAAATGCAGCCTTGGTGAGCATAAGAGACTTCTTTCACAAAATGTTTTACTTCTTACTGACCCCAAACTTTTGAACGGTTGTGTGCATCTATATATCAGTCAATTCTGATTTAATTTCTGGGGGTTTGTTTTCCTATGTTAATTCTTTTTCTATGTTAATTCTATTTCTATATTACTTTTTTCTATTTCTATATTACTTTTTTCTATATACATATTTCTATTAATTTCTATACATTTTTACTTTTAAATGACCTTTGTCATCATCTAAATCTCACTTAATCTTTAAAAATTGTAATAATTTAATAACACTGTTAAATGTTATTGTTGGCAAATATCAAAATAAACATACTTTTTTTTCATACTGTACATTAATGTTATAACTGCATTCACTTGTTACGTTTAAAATTATTTTAGTTTTTTGTGTTCTTTTTTTTTATTCATTTAGACAAAGTTGTATATATCTTTTTTTAATTTTTTTATTTATGGGCTATTTTATGCCTTTATTTGGACAGGACAGCATAGAGTAGACAGGAAAGCATTGGGTGGAGAGAGAGGGGAGCGGGATCAGCAAAGGACCACGAAAAGGGTTTTCAAACTCGGGTCGCCGCACTAACCATGAGGCTATTGACACTGACAGTAGTATCAAATTTTATCGTCTACCATTAATAAGAAATATCAGTGCATCACTATTACCCAAGGTACAGTAGTAAAACAGCCTTTTGTAATTCTCATAAAGGAGGTAGAAAATGTATGGAAATGATGGCAGGAAACCTTGAGTAACAATATAAGTGGTTTTTGGGGAAACAAATAAAATGTAACAAAAGTGCCGCTTTAATTTGATTAAAATACCACTAATGACCCTAAAATATCAGCTTGTTTTGTTTTCTTTTTATAGATCACGGAGAAAGGCTTTACCCCACTGTTGCAGTTTGCTTACACAGCCAAGCTGCTGCTCAACAGGGACAACATCCAGGATGTCATGTGTTGTGCCGAATTCATGGGAATGCACAACCTCGAAGACTCCTGCTTCCGCTTCCTACAGGCCCAGATGAAAAGTGAGGCTGATGGCATGCAGACCAGCCAGAATCCACTATCACCTCAGACTCTAGTTCAGAACCATCATGATAATGGATTAGAGGATGCAAATGTGCAGCCAAATGACTCCAAACCACCACTGTCCGGATCAAGGCTGCACCCTGAAACTGAGCAATTAAAAGTCACCAACAACCTGCATCAATCAGACCAACCTCCAACTTTCGACCTCCCTCGTTATCCCAAATATAGAAAGTACCATCAGGTTCTTGCTAAGCACAACGCAACCACCTACTCTCACAGCAGTACCTCAAGCTTACACGGCTCCCTGCAGGATACCGTCACCAGCAGCGATGCCCAGGGCCTTGATCTTTCCAAGGTTAAAGCAGAACCAGCAAGTGGGGAAGACTGTGTGCCACTAGACTTGTCCGAGTTGGAGCAGGACGGTCTGGTCGGGGGTAAAGGGAGTGAGATGGAGATGGAAATGGAGTTTGAAGGAAGACAACTTAGTTCAACGCCCATCGAATTGCCTGTGAGCAAGCGTTCACCAGTGTGCCTGCGCTCCCTTGTTAAAAAGGAAGTCACGTCTTCGGATCATTGTCTTACCACTGATCTGCAACTCACCAGCAGAACCTCTCCCCTTCGAGAACCACAAGTTGCTCCAAATGACTTCCAAAAAGACTATCAGACCTTCGTTGGGGGACTTGGAGTGACATCCTCAAAAAAGGCTGAGAAATTAACCGATGACATGTCACTCAAGTCACTTTCCTTTGAGAGGATCTGTTCCCAAGAATTTGAACGGGAGAGTGACCGAAGAAGTGTCATCTTCTCCTCTCGAGCCCCTTACCATCTGGCGGCACCCGCACACTCTTATCCGGGTGAGAGCTGTTTGGGCCAGGAGACCCCGGATGACTTATGGGCAGGTTCCAGCCAGTCGTTCCCCTGCTCCCAAGCACTGTCCCCAACTTCTGTCTCTCAAGAGCCCGCATTGCCCTACCGCCGCCGGCCAAAGAGCAGCTGTCCGGTGCCCATTAAAATGTGTCCCCGTTCGTCTCGTGCCGAGAGCCACATCAGAACCTCCAGCTCTTGCTCTTCCTACTCCTACGCTGAGGATGGCAGTGGAGGATCTCCTTCCAGCCTGCCCCAGTTTGAGCTCTCTACCTCTCCTTGTTCCACCATGGTGCGATGCCTGGCCCTTGAACACCGGGAGCATAGCATGTCGGGGCCACCAAAGATCAAGTGCGAGAAGTCGTACGATACTAATTCCAGTGACGAATCTGGATCTTTTTCCGATGGAGATAGCGAATCCTTTCCCACCAAAGAGCACACTCAAGAGGTTGGTATATGTTTGGAAATATTAGTTGCACTAATATTTGGGATACAGAAGGTTGCACATTCTGTATCCCAAACAAATAACAAAGTTGATATTAAAATCTGCAGTGCAGCACTGCATGATTAATCAAAGTAAAGCTGAAATCGAGATATGGCTTATTGCAATAATCATATCACAAAGACTTTGTCCTAATTACATAAATATGTATGTCAGTGCTGCATGTTTCAGAGTGTAGCATGGCACTGTGTTCATTTACACGTGAGTAGCTCATGATCCAGTGTTTTCAGCAGCTTCATTCGATCGCTTAAACGTGTGTTTGGCAACCTACCACATGCCAACCATCTTCCCAGACTTGAAATGAGAAGAACTCTGTGTTTTCTCCACCTGAACATCAAAGCCCAGTGGTTTGATGATTGAAAATGAAGAGATTATGAGTCCAAAATTATTATTAGTATTGTAATTTAACAGTTGTACTGTAAAATAAAAATATATTTTTCTTCAATACTATTTTGTTTTTCAGTCAGATATTACAATAATAGTATTTCTTATTTTGTTTAATTTGTAATTTTTATTATTATTTATTATTATAGTCATATAGATATATAATCACAGCATTTTTGCCAAATTGTGCATCTCTACAGACAAGCACAGCAGCCCTGGAGCATTTAAAAAAAATGCAGACTTTATATCGCAATCACATTATTTTTTGTTCCCCCAAACAGTCCAGCCCTGTGCAATGGTTGCTTGGCGCACGTTGTCGACATTTGAGCTTTTTATAGGCACAAGTTCAAGTCCAATTCTTGATCCCATTAAAAAGCAAAATCCCCATAAATAATTATGAAAAATATTATCATTACAAAACATTCCCACATTTGATTCCTGAGCTTCTGAGATTGAGAATCAAGCTGCAGTAACTTGGCAAACGCTGAAGGGTTGCCATGGCAATAAGCTCTGAGCCGTTCTTCTTCCTAAGGTCCCAATGACATAATTGTTCCTCCTCCTGACAACACTGACACATTGCCAGTTCAAGAATCTGTGTATGATAATTTGCTGTCTCATTTAGTCGTTTGATTTTTTTGATGACCCAATTGAGTTGTTGTTGTCAGTGTACAAATGACTACAAAAAAATTTTTTTTGTGGGATTCTTAGAATGTGTTTTGAAGGCAGATCCATAAAAAGCCAGATATTTCACAGCAGCATTATGAAACGTATAGCTTTAGATTCTACAATCTGATTGGATGAGTTTCCTTCTGTTGTAAAATAGCTGATATACGCACACCTGTGACCGAAAATTAGTTCTGTGTTGATGTATCAAGTTGCTGCATTGCCTGATGACTGTAAACATTATACTTAGGCTAATGTACTGCAAAATAATTTGTTTTTTATTTGTCTTTTTTTGTTTGTTTTCTTAAAATACATAAAACAAGATAAACTTACTTGCAACACTCAATAAGATATTAAGACTTGTTTTCATCTTGTATAAACATATACCGTCTTACTGCAGTGGCAGATATTTTACAAACAGAATTTGTTTGTACTTGAAAAATTAAAACAAAAAACATCTACAAGTAGGATTATATGTACTCTTATTAAAGATGCTCTGATTCTCTGAAAACAACTTCTTAAAGTGATAGTTCACCCAAATATGAAAATTCTGTCACCCTCATAATGTTACAAACCTGTATGGATTTCTTTCTTCCAGAAATTTCTGGTCTCCATTGACTTCCATAGAATGGAAAGTTCCATAGGAGGAAAAAAAAAATACTGTAGTATTTTTAGGGAACTTCTGATACTATGGAAACTCATAGAGGTTTGGAATAACATGAGGATGAGTAAATCATGACAATTTTCATTTTTGGGTGGACTATCCCTTTAAGGACATTTATATAGTTTCAGATATTTTAGATATTAACTGGAACACAGTATATGTTTTGCAGTTTAAACTGTATTACTTCGTGGAAGAATTGTTTATGATTGTCAGTAACAATAAATGTTAACTTTATCATGATCATGTGATGATGGCAAAAAAGGAACCATGGTATTTAGATGGGACTTCTAAGAATACAATTGTACATGTCCAAAGTAATAACATGCTATTTTTTATCTGTCACAATTTTAAGAAAAAAAAATAGGTTATGGAAAAAAAGCTAAATTTGAACCCAATATAGTGTAGAAATCTCTTCAGAAACAATCTTTCTATAGCCGTATTTATTTTGCCCTTCACGCTGCCTGAGTTTAAAGCTCCCAGCTACAGGTCCCCAGACAGAAGTGGGGCAGCGGCCCCCAGGCTCCCATCTGATGATGGGCCGCTTCACCTCACTGGCTAACAGATGAGCCCTACTTCACTGTATGAGTGCCTTCTCCCAGAAACGACCTGACTTCAGAGAGAAGGAGAGGAGAAAACGTGCCTGTGCTGCTGGAAGCCTAATCTGTCATTCTAGCCTTATTACAGAGCTCTCTGTACTAGAGCGGTTAAATATAGACCTCCATTTTACACAGACTGAGCAGTGGCACAAGGTCACAGCAGAGAGAGAGAGTATTCGTCATGGTGATCACTATGACCAACTCCCTCGGCAGAGTTTTAAGTCAGGTTTCATCTTTGTCATTGCATGGAAATGAGAATAGTGACTCTATTCGCAGAATTTGTAATTGAACCATAATGTGTCCTGTGTTCATCTTCATTTGCGTGACATTTTCAGAGCTGTGCTGTGATTAGTTGAACAATATAAAGATGGTAAACTGAAGCTCTTTGCTGAAGCTTATTACAAGCATATATTACCAACCCACCTAAAATCCTTCAGCATGTGTTAAAGAACAACATTCATACCCAGTGGCTGATCTGTAAGGAAATGTAAATTTACAGTGGTTACAAATAATCATACCATATAGAATTTTATGGAATCTGTCAAGAATTCATGCATGTATTTAATCAAAAATACAGTAAAAGCAGTAATATTTAGAAACGTATTTAAAAATAACTGTTTTCTATTTTAATATCTTTTAAAATATTATTTATTCCTGTGATAGCAACGCTGAATTTTCAGCAGCCATTTCTCCAGTCTTCAGTGCCACATGATCCATAAGAAATTATCAATTTTGAAAAATTGAAATTAATATTTCTATTGATGAATTAGAAATTAATAGAAAGTTCAAACGAACAACATTTATTTATCATAAATGTCTGTACTCTCACTTTAGAGTATCCTTGCTGGATAAAAGTCATAATATTTCTTCTTAAACTGTGTAAGATTTAAAATTTTGACAGAATTACTGATCTGATACTGCATAATTTTAGCATTACATAGCATTTATGTGGAAGCTATCAAGAAAAAAAAAAATATATATATATATATATATATACACGCATATATATTACCAAAAAAATCTTAGTCTCTTAATGAAAATTAAGTTGTTTATTTATTGTTTTATATTTGATGAGTTTCCGAAGTTTAGTTTTCTAGTTTAAGCCTGAATGCAAATAAATAAAACATTTCATACAAGTTAGATGGCAGTGTCATCTAGTGGTGAAGTTCCATATTTTCTGAAGGTTGTGTGAAATTTGCAGAATATATACATACTGTAAGTATATAATTGTTGTTTGTTAATATTAACTTTCTTCCTGTATATGAAGTTACCTGCTGCAGTAAATACATCTTAACTCTAATATGCTGTAAACTTGCAGGTGAAACTGCCTTTCTCAATAGACCAGATCACAGAGCTTCCACGCAATGACTTTCAGCTGATGATAAAGATGCATACGCTGACCTCAGATCAGCTAGACTTCATCCACAACATGAGACGCCGCAGTAAAAACCGCGTCGCGGCTCAGCGCTGCAGGAAAAGAAAGCTGGACTGCATCCAGAACCTGGAGCGTGAGATTCACAAACTGGTAGGCTGCGACCAACAACCTTCGAGCGTTTGCTTGCACGCTTCACAAGAATCTAGATTTTTCTAAATCACCTTCATTATTGCATGTGTTTCTCCTCTGCTAGGTCTGTGAGAGACAGAAGCTCCTAACCGAACGCAGCCAGCTGAAGATCTGCATGGGGGAGCTGTGGGAAAACTTCTCCTTTTTGTCTCAAGAGGTCTGTAGGGAAGAACAGCGGAGTCCAGGACAGTCTCGATCTCTGTATAATCTACACCCAGACCCAGTTTCATCCGGTCCAGACCTGAGAATCTCTCCCAATCCCACCAGTATAGACGTCACTCTCACCTCACACAACAGCGTGGTGTTGTCCCCAGGCTTAAATGACTGCCAGGCCATAGTCAAACCACCACACTCACACCTTAGAGTGGACAGAGAGGCTGTCCCACCCCAAGACACTGTCACCTCTGAGAGGTCAATGGTGAAACCTTCCCAAATGGGCAGCTCAAGTGTGACGACTGATTTCTGCCAGGAAATGACCGAGAAGTGTACGACAGAAGAGCTGCCTGAGAGAAACTGAGTCCAGTAAACTGCATTCATATCTTTTATCATGACAGTTGGTTCTGTGTGTTCAAATGTTACTTTTTTTTGCCAGTGTTAAGCTTTGTTTGCCACTACTTTAGGGGGGCTGTTCTGTTGTTACGCTCATGGTGCATCACCTGATGTGTTTCTGTTTGTGTGTGCATACGGATTTGTTCTCATACATGCTGTATAGGATGCTAAAGTCATTTCGTTTTGAACATG